GGCATGGCGGGATGGAGCAGCAGGCCGCAGGGAAAGGGCATGGTGAAGGCTCAGAAACAAGGTTTTGGTGCACAAAACAGCTATTCTCACCTTGCTGCATTGGATTTTAGGGCGGTAGGTGTTTGCTGCAGCGGGGGAAAAAAGGATCTTTAGGGAGTATAGGGGAAGGATCAGCAGGATATATGTGAAAAATACACCTTTGTGACAAGCAGCTGCTAAAACTTCCAATACTTTCACTTCAATTCTGTCCACAGACTGCCTTGCCTAGGCTTTCTTTGAATTTCCCAACTAGCTGAGTGAGGTCTATTGCTACGTAATCAGTTTGTAACAGCTTTCTGTCCGTTTTTCATTTCTAGTATTTGCTTAGTAAGGTATTTCACATCAAGTGCCACCTTCCCATCCGTCTCTTACTGCTCAGTGATCAAGCCTCCTGGTTCGCTGGTTGCCCACTCTTAGGTCAACCGATGCCAGAGTCCAAAACTTACTTTTATGGCAGAGGACTTGTCCAGGGAAGGTGATGAAGCAGCGAAGCCCATGCTGGAGTCTTAGTCTGGCTTCGCTGCTGAAGCTGGTATCCAGGTCTCTGCTCACCGAAGTTGTGTTTTACTGGAACTGTACAACAGAAATAAAACAAAATAAAGCCCTGTACTAGTTTGTCAGTCTACAAAGGAGAAAGGATAGTCTATGCAATTCTTGCTTTCCTTCTTATTTTTTAGAAGATGCTCAGAGGGCTGGAGCACCTCTCCTGTGGGGGCAGGCTGAGAGAGTTGGGCTTGTTCAGCCTGGAGAAGAGAAGGCTCCGGGGAGAACTTATAGCACTTTCCAGTACCTGAAGGGGCCTACAAGGAAGCTGTGGGAGACTTTTTACAAGGGCCTGTAGTGACAGGACAAGGGGTAAGGGGTTTAAACTGAAAGTGGAGAGGTTTAGATTAGATATCAGGAAGAAATTATTCATGGTGAGTGTGGTGAAGCACTGGAACAGGTTGTCCAGAGAAGCTGTGGATGCCCCATCCCTGGAAGTGTTCAAGGCCAGGCTGGATGAGGCTTTGAGCAACCTGGTCTAGTGGAAGGTGTCCCTGCCCATGGCAGGGAGGTTGGAACTAGATGGTCTTTAAGGCCCCTTCCAACCCAAACCATTCTGTGATTGAGGTATGCTCTGGCCTCCCAACAGGCTGGGCCAGAGTGCTGTAACCCCTCTGTTAGGTGCATGCTTCTTTTTTTCTGTGGGAAACGTTAGTTCAAGACACGGTGTCTGCCAGTGATCTCGCTCCTCCGCACTGTGGGTGGCCTGCATCAGTCCCCTGGATCAGGCCACGGAACGTAGGAGGTTGGTAGTTAATCCTGGCTGGACTCTACACAGTTCCTGCGGGTGAGCTGAGTTTTGTGTGTGCGATACCCCGGCGCTAACAGGGGCACCCTCTGTTTTGGAGGAATCCGCGGGCTCTGCCAGCTGGCTGCCGAGGGGCGGCATCCGGTCGGCCGAGGTCTCGCTTGGGCCCAGCCACGTGCCTCTGACCCATTGTCGAGGCTGTGGCGGTCGGCGGGCTGTTTGTCAAGGGTGAACAATGGCCTGTCTGTCGGGGATCGCGTTACCGTAAATAACGTTAGAATAGCATGAAAAAATCCCTTTTAGGTCAACTCCCCCCGAAGCGTTCTGGCTGGGCTATTAGCAGCTCCTCCCGCCCCCGCGCCAGGGCTGAATGGGCAGGGCATTGGGCTGATTTGGGTAACTGATTTGATTCAGTTGGATGAAAGCGGATAGCAGAGCTTCTACTGTCAGAATCCTGTTCGTGAGCAGGCTATTGCTAGAGCTGCAAAGGGCAAAAATGGATCAAGCTGCATAATATCCTCTAGCTAAAGATTAGCTCTGGTGTCTACAAAGCCCTAAGAGAACAGAGCTCAAATTATAGGGATGTTGGGGAGCTACCTTTGCTGTGTTTTTCTCACTGTTCCTTGGGACAGAGGACCTGGTGTGCCGATGATGTGATATCACCCCGATGAGGCCAGCGTCTTGGTTAATCAGGACCTGGTCAAAACACACACTTCTACACCCTGTCCGCAGGGTCGAATGCAGACAATGCAGCACTCCAGCAGGGCCTGCTGACCCGAGCCGGGGGCTTCCAGTAGTTTGGTGGCTTCCAGACAGGAGGTGGCTTGTGGCAGGGGGATGGGAAGGCAGCTGCCTGTGCCTGGCTGCGGAGGCGTGCTTTCCACCTGTACCCAAGCGGCGAGCAGACGAGCTCCGAGCGCCGGAGGAGAGCAGTGCTCCTCGTTGTTCTCCGATGCTGGCAAATACATACGGTGCAGGGGAAGCTACAACACATCCCGTAACAGGCGATTATGGGATAATCTGTGTGTAGAGGAAGCTTATTCCTAACCCTGAGGCGTGAGGATCTGTATACTTTGTTATTTTCCCTGTCCAATACAGCAGCTCTCATTATCCATATGGAGGTCCGCAACTGTTCCGAGTCCAGCAGGCTGCCAGCATCGCTGTGTCCTGTGGCAGGGAGTTAATTAGGTGTTGTAGTAATAAGAAAGAAGAGTGTTTCCTTGGAATAATTTTGGGTACATAGCCCTTTTGTATGGCCTTCGTACAGAGAAGCAGGGCTGGTTTCCCTGTTACGAGATGGAGTAACAGAGAATGTCTGACTGACCCTCTTCATGCTGCCAATTATTTGGTGTACTTCTGTCTCACATACCTTTAAAATGATTCCCAAACTTTTTAGTCTCTCCACCTCTAAGACTTTCAAAGACGCCTAGGAACTTCAGCACCCATGCTTTTGAGGCATTACCTGTTGAAGGACAGAGTTGAGGGAAACTGGGAAACGTTCCGGTGGAACACCCACTGTTGATTTCCACATGGTATTATAACACCTTCAGGTCGTTTTTCCACCCCTCACCGTGGTCAGGGTGTTTCAACTGGACAGAACCTTTAACTGAGCGTGATGATTTTCAAGTCTGCGTCATGAAACGCGTGACCTTTTTTTTTTTGCTCACTGGTGAAGCATTTTTATAGTCCTTTTACAGTTTTCGCCTATTGTTAGTAATTTCGCAGACTTAGCGCAGAGCAGTCATTATTCTGTCTGTCTGGTCTGAGTTGTCCTCCGTGGCCACTATTATGGATCTTGGCACCTAAACCTTGTATAACTCAGGGCCACGCTGATGGTTCATTTCTAGAGGAACAGACGTGCCCTTCTCTATTTCACCTTCTGTGGAATTAGTCTGGTTTCGTCCCGTCAGGCTCCTCCGTGCCTCTGCTGCTGTGGGAATTTACGAGTTTTGCTTGCAAAAAGAAGGCAATGAATAACAGTTTGGTTCAGCTAGAGTTCCTAAATGTAGTCTCTGTTCCGAGGTTATAGGAGGAAGAGGAATTGGTGTGGTTTTGGGGTTGGTTGATTGTTTTTTGGTGGGGTTCTTTTTTGTTTAGGAGTCAATAATTACCTTTGAGGCACTCTGACTTTGTCAGCTCCTAGAGTGGGGGTGAGGAAGAGAGGATACAGTTGTGAGGAAGGAGGGAAACGGTTGAAAGGAGAATGCAGCAGCTCCAAAGGGGTGCTATGAGAGCTCTTACTGCGTAGCACAGGCAGTGCGAGCCTGTGACAGCAAAGCCCCGCGTTCCTCACCCTCGTCGTCTCTCTTACAGATAACTGACTCGGCTGGGCACATCCTGTATGCCAAGGAGGATGCCACAAAGGGCAAGTTTGCCTTCACCACTGAAGACTATGATATGTTTGAGGCCTGTTTTGAGAGCAAGCTTCCTGTGGGTAAGTGAGGTGAAAGGTTTGTTGGCTGTTTCTAGCTTCCGAACAAGTTCGTGTAGATGTGTGGATTAGGGGTGTGGGTAAAGTGATCAGAGCGTGGTCTACAGAACACCAGCTTCTAAAAGTGATCTTCAGGAGGCTGTGGGCAGTCTCGCTGCAGAATATCTGCTGGTGGTGTTGAGCTTGAACTTAAGTAATCCTCTGTGGCCGTCATAGTGTCCCGCAGAGGTCACCACAGTCGCAGTGAGTGGTGGTACAGGGGAGCAAACCATGCCTCTCTTGCCCTTTTCATGCTGCTTTCCATCTTGCAGTCGAGCCAGGACAGAGCAGGATGCTGTCATCTCCAAGACCCTGTCTTTCTCCCCAGCCCACCAACTCTCTCCGTTTGGCGGGACACAGTTGCTCTGCAGTGTGTGCTTGGCAGCAACCCCGTGTTAGGTTAGCAACCGTTTTCTGGGGCGGGAGGGTGTGTGTAGAGAGAACGTGACCTAGGTCTGCACCCACAACTGCTCTCTAAGTGGTCAATAAAGGGAAGGGGAAACGAGCAGGACGTCAGCCTTGCATTTGTGCTGCAGGGATAGTTGCCTAACGAGCGCTGAGCCTCGTTTCCTGTGAGTGTGACGCATGTGCTGCTTTGAGTGGCTGGACTCAACTTTGGGACAAACGTGCTGAAAACAGCCAACACGCGGGCTCCAGTCTCCTTTGCGATGGTGTGAGCGCATGCAAGTTTCTCTGTGCTCACATCTTTTCACGGTCACTCTCAAGAGTTCTGCTTTCTGGACCTGGTTAGGTCTTATCCTAAAAGATCCCAGAGTATTTCACAGAGCAGTCACTAGCAGCATTCCTCATGTCTGCTGAAAGGCAGCACTGTTTTGTTGTTCTGCTACACGTGTAAGATACAAAGAGTTTGCAAGTTGAAGAGAAGGTTATCTTCTGTGCTGGGATTGGGAGGGATCTGGCTCATGACACTGCTTCTCTAGTACTTTACAGATAAGACAGTGACCCGAAATGCTCAGGATTTTGCTTTTATTTCACCCCAGAAGTAGGGCTTGCAAATGCTCCTTAACGCATCGAGACATGCAGGCACTGGTGACTCATCTGGGAGTCACTCGTGCTATTTACTGTCCAACACCTGGGTATTTGGGTGGTCTCCAGACAGTCCCACAAATCCTCTCCTAGCTTCCGTGTAATCACACGCTGAGGTGGGAAAGGCTTCTTTCTTTAGATGTGTCTAGACTCTTATTTCAGTGTCTGTGACCCAAGGTTTCTTGCCTAGACTGAGGCCCTTAGACCTCTTTTGACTGTAGCAAATATTTTTGCCCTGGCTCCCTTGTATTGTTGCAAGTTTGTGTTAAAGCTTTCCGTACTGATGAGGATAAACTATTTCAAACTGCAGCTTCTACCTGGTGACTGAGGTGTCAGAATCTTAGAGCTGTTCAGTTGAGCAGCTGAATCCTTTCCTGGAGTCTTTCTGTCTGTGGGCCTCCAAGCTGCCATTTTCTTTCTGGACCCAGACCCCCCAAATTCCTTGCTAAAGAGAGATGCTGCATGACGAGTATCTCCAGATCTCCCATGCCTGTGCTGGAAATGAAGGAAGTGGCAAAGTAAGGGAGGTGGCATTGCGAGGCTTGTTCATCTGCAGGACTTGGTTAAGGTACTGTGAAAGAAGTGACCACATCACAAGGAAGCGCCTTGTTTCCTCTGTAAGGTCAGCGTGGGAATGGGGGGATTGACCAAGCACTTGTTTTATTCCTGTGTTTCTCTTTAAAGGGTTTTGATTTGGCGTTTTTTCAGTCTTATCAGGTAAGTGGTGAGGACTTGCAGCTCGGCAGCCAGGGAGGATGTTGGTGGAGTACTGGAAGAGAAAAACTGTTGGTGGAGGAAGCCCAGGGCCGTTGGGATCTGAGGGGTCTAAGCAACTGGTATTTCTCAATCCTTAACCACAGAAATGAGGAAGAGGAAGTGAGAAGGAGATCCTGTTTAGAAGGTCCACTTTATCAGAGTGGAGGAGTGCTTTTTGGAGCTATGGGTGTTTGCCTGATAGGCTTTTTTCCCTCTTGAGCTATCTTCCTGAGCGGTGCTCTGCTCCCAGGCGTGGTTTCTCTCGCACTGTATGACGATCTGTGAGATCAGCAGCCTGGCCTGCACTACATGCTCCCCGATATGGCTCTTGCTGCGTGCTCATCTCTACCCCTGCTCCTTCTGTAATCCTTCTCTTCCCAAACTTCCTTAAGAATTTTATGGCTCATTTTTTTCTGGAATTCCTGTGAGAAAATTGTTGTGACATCCAGTTCAACCATCCTGTTTTTCCACTGACTTGGCAAATTAGGAGCTCCCCTAATCTCCCAGGATTCTGTGCTCATGTGAGATAACCTCTTGAAGACCTCCTGGGGGATGTAGGTATCAGTTTAGTTCAACATCTCTGGGACTTAACTGTTTTTCTCTTTGCTGCTGATCCAGTCTGCTCTGGTGAGCCCTGGCTGCAGGAGGAGGAGGGAGTTACTGAGGTTCTGATGAGCATGAAGGGAGCTGCCCGATGCCTTGGGCTCAGTCAACTTGTAGAAGAGCAGCTTGAGTTTTTCCAGGCCAGTCCCTGACAACGTCAACCTCTTGCAGAATGTCTGCTTTCCATCCATTTGCACCCAGCAGCTCCAAGTTTTCTGCTTTCTTACTGCCTCTTGGCAGCTCTCTCTACCAGCCTGACAAATTAATCCTTCCAGTTCTGTTCTCCTGTTCACTGGCCTTTTCATCTTTCTCATCTCTTCCTGGAATCTCCATCTCTCCACCCAAGTTGCTGTAATTTAAACATAAAAAACACCCAAATCCTCTCACTGAACTGTGTGCTTTGAATTTTCTTCTGCAGCTACTGTTGACTGTCCTACCTGCCAGTCTCCAGGCGTGCTGGTCTGTGCGTGGCGTAAGCGGTCAGAACTTGTGGTTGGAGAAAGGAGCACTGCGTGGTTGTACACAGTCGGTCTGTTAAAGAACAGTGCGGGGATTTGAGTTTGGTTTTACAGTAACTGGTCTTTTATAAGACAACTAAAAAAAAAATCCAACCTAATCCTAATTTAGTAGTGGATACAGACCATCTTGTCAGGAGTTATTCCAGGTTCTGCTGGCAGTATAAGGTGGAGGTGATTCTGCTCTGGTGTTGAAGAGCTGTTCAGGGCATAGAGAGAAAATTTGGGGATGTTGAACTGAAGATCTGGAGTATCTTCCTAACTCCAGCTGGAGTGACCCAGTGTAACCTGTGCACCAAATTTGTGGACTGAGGGAATGTCCACATGGCAGCCTGCTGAAGCCAGGTGTGAGTATTGGACATACTCCTGGGTAAAGACTCTGAAACTCATAGAGTAAGTGAATTCAGACCTTGTGTTTTGGTGGCTGCCAGCTGAGGATAACTGTATTCCCCAGAGTCCTGGGATTTGGGAATGTGTTGTGTACAGACACTTCCTTGGTGAGTGGTGTAGTGGATTATGATACTCGGGTGAGCTGACATGCTGCATTCTTTAGGGTTTCCTATATCCCTATTCTGTATATTTATTTTATTCCTCTAGTGAATGTCCTCAGAAGTGACGGTTTGTAGTAGTTAAAAGGGGCTATTAGCCGTAGGTGTCCCTAGCTTGAGGGCAACAGCCTTCAAGCAACCTACTGTGCTGTTGACTGCAGCCGTATCCTGCTCGCTGTTTGTGCGGCTCCAGCTGGCAGTTCTCCGAAGGGGCATTTTCCCGGCTTCAGAAACCTCCTGCCATCTCGGGGTTCGCATTAGCAGTGTGGGCCTCAGAGATCCGAGCTGTACTTTCCCGGAAAAGATAGGTTGGTAAAGGGATTGCCTTCCTTTCTGCATATACTGCCAGCACACGCGGGCCAGTTGTCCCTGTGTGCCGTATTCCTCAAGCAGAGCAGTTTACCTTCTGCTCCTTTGAATGTAAAATCATTTACAACCCCAGTAACCTTGACAATTTGCCGGTGCACTTCCTGCTAGGAGGAACATGGGCTTCCCGGTTGAATATTTGTCCCTCTGGTGACTTGCCTTTCACCAGGCTGTCTCATAGCAGCTGGTATTCATCTTCTAATCCTCTGCAGTTTTTACAGTGATTTGCATCCTACACACACTTAGCACTTTTCGTTACAGCTTGTTCTCATTATCTTTGGGAGTCTCTCCTTCAGCCAGGATTTACTGTGAAGTCTCGGTATTTTTAGGCTGGACGGTGCTGCCTCCACAGTTAGCTGCAGACGTGGAGGGAGGGGAGGGATGTTGTGAGTTCTTCCTCGGTGGTGGGGAGAGCTGGTGATTTCCTGGCAGGCTGCATGTTTCGCACAATGAACCCTTTCATTATGCTTCCAGGAACAGGGAGGATGCCGGACCAGCTCGTGATTCTGGATATGAAGCATGGAGTTGAAGCAAAGAACTACGAGGAGGTATGTCCCCTGGCTGCCTGCACTGCCGGCTCCCCTTTCCCAGCACTCACGTGATGCAATTTGTGGATCTGGGGCTCGTGATGGGAAGCTGTTGTCCCAGCGGTGATGAAAGCCTTTCTGCAACCTATAATTCCAGTGAAGCTTTTTGTGTTAGGGGAGACAAAAAATAGACAAATATCAACTAAAATGAAATGTGAGCTCTGGGAACTGGAGCCGAAGGTGTGAATTTCTTTGCTAGGACAGTGTGACCCAGCTTCTGGGCTTAGGCATTAGAGGCAACAAGAGGCTGAGATGTGAAGTTTCCCAAGCCACGGAGGGCATTTTAGGTTAATATCGGATCCTTCTAAAGGTCAAGTTGTGTTTTTACTGTTCTTACCTTCCTGACTGTAAGATGTGCTGGCTCAACAGCCCTGGAATGGCACTGTGGCATCAACAGCCCTGTGGCAGAGCAGTAGCTGGCGTGAAATGGGTGTTGGGTTTGAAGCCGTGACACTGCAAATAGGCATAAAGCCTGGAATGTTTCCCTCTTAGGAGGATATAATTTTCTTAGACCCAAGAGCCAGCTGTGTGGAATAACAGTTGTTTTGTGGCTGGGACAGTCCTGGCTGGTTTGGATGCTGAATTTTGATAGCTGCTATGATGCTCTTGGTTCAGTAGAATGTGGGGTCAGTCAGCCCCCAGCACTGAGCCTGTGTCTGAGGAAAGGAGAGGTGTTGGCTCTGTGTCCACTGTGCACAACAGCATGGGAGATGCCTCATGGAGGAGAGTGGATAGCAGAGGAGGCTGCGTGTGGTGCAGTTAGAAAAAGAACAAATTTCTGAGATGGGCATGCTGGAGGTTTTATATCCTCCTGAGCTTTGGGCTAGCTCATCCTGCATGGCTAAAGTCAGTCTGGAGCACATCCTGTATGAAGAGTAAGAAAACGCTTGGAGTCAGGGAAGAGCAGAGCAATCATTGGGCCAGCTGTCTGGCAACCAGGTACTGAAGGATTACAGGATGTTGAGATCTTACGGGATGACCCCTGAGAGTGTAACGGGGAGGATTATGGTGATGACACTTACAGAATCTCTGTAAATACAACCCCGACGAATACTCTGAGTTACATTACTGTACTGCTACCTAGAAGCATTGTCCCTACGCAGAAAGGTTCTCTTGTGTCCGTATTACCTACATACTCACTGGCTGTACTGATACTTTATTCCAAGGCAGTTGTATCCATTATGCTTGTCAGCGTAGTTATATCGACGGAAAAGGTCCATGGACAAACATGGGAAAAGAAGAATGTGGACTTGCAGTCCCACCTGATACCAAATGCAGATCTTGACAGCGCTGGCAAGCATCCTTGACTTGTGTGGACCTCTCGGGATGACAGGCTGTGTCAAGCCTTGTTGAGCAGCGTGTCTGCGAAGGACTGAGACTGCTTTACTCTTTGTACAGCTGCTACGGATGTTTAGCCACACTGTTTGCAGTGTTTTCTTTTTTTCATCCTCTCTCTCCCCAGGTTGCTGTTGTATTTGTGGCTTTTGACTTGACAGCTTGCTGTAAGGCCTCAGTGGGAAGGACTGTTCCTTAGATTCCTCTCCTGGAATTGCTATCTTTTTTGGCCTTGTGCTTGTGATGTTAATCAGCTGTAAGGTACCAGTGACCCAGCAATCACAGAATGGTTTGGGTTGGAAGGGACCTTAAAGACCATCCAGTTCCAACCTCCCTGCCGTGGGCAGGGACACCTTCCCCTAAACCAGGG